GATCTGTCGCAGCTGGACCCCATAGCTAAGGTCCTTAGCATGCAAAGTGCATGTGCCCAATACTGGAAAGCATATGTTTTCCCAGGCCTCCTTAAAATCCAGAGCATGCTTGTATCAAAAATGCACAGCAGTGCGTAAGTAGGACTACTGTAAAACAATGAACTTTTTTTTTTTTATTTCTGTATTCTTAAAGAGACATTTTGCTTATGGTAATCTTGCTTTCTTGCTTACGTACTTATGGGGCCTCACTTGAAAATGTTTTACATAGACAGGAATAACAAATTATACAACAACACCCTAGCTAGAGGGCTCACATTTTATGCAACATATACAATCATTCCATTAGAATACATAACTGTATGAACTGTCTGGCGCGATAAAGCATTGTGTGATTATGCTTGAAGTTATGACATTAGACATTCACTTCTGATCGGCTACGTCTCAAGCTATTGCTGTAAGTTAAAGGTGATTAATCAGCTAAAAGGTCATGATTTTAAAAGAAAGAATATGAGAAAAGAGTGGAATATTATTTGTCCCCCACCAAGTGTGAGGAAGAAGGTCACAAATGCTTCTTCTAATTTGAACTGAATTCTTTTATTAAGCTCCTTCCCTGATTGTTTTAATTTTTCTCCTCCAAACCCAGGGCTAGTTTTCTATTATTACATTCTATTATTCCATTTTGTATTTCATGTCAAGCTTCAGGTTCCCATGTTTATAGTTCTCTGCCAATCTGATCTACTGATCTACTCAGTGGGGCAGTAGCACCAACAACCAAAGTACTTATTATTATTATTATTATTATTATTATTATTATTATTATTATTATTATTAATAATAATAAATAATAAATAATTCAAAGGGATTATTGAATCTGTCATCTGCACCTCCATAACTGTCTGGTTTGGCTCCTCAACCAAACAAGATAAATATAGACTTCCAAGGATAATTAGGACTGCAGAAAAAACAATTGCTACCGACCTGCCTTTCATTGAGGACCTGTATACTGCACGAGTCAAAAAGAGGGTTGTGAAAATATCTACAGACCTCTCACATCCTGGACATAAATTGTTTCAACTTCTACTTTCAAAATGATGCTATATGGCTCTGCACACCAGAACAACTAGATACAAGGACAGTTTTTTCCCCCCAAATGCCATCACTCTGCTTAACAACTAATTCCCACAACACTGTCAATAATTTACTAAGACTGTATTGCTATTATTCTTCTCTTCCTTCCTAGTATCTATCTCTCCCTATTTATGACTATAACCATGTTGCTTGTATCTTTCAATTTATATTATTTTTATTTGTTTCCTAGTACAATTTGATAGCTTTTTAGTAATCTTGATTATCACTGTGTTGTATCTTTTTATTCTTGGTGAATGTGTTTTATTTTCCTTATGTACACTAAGAGCATATGGACCAAAGACCACTTCCTTGTGTGTCCAATCACACTTGGCCAATAAATTTCTGTTCTGTTCTGTTCTATTCTATTCTATTCTATTGTAAAAAATAGTTTCTTGAGTTGAAATCAAGTGATAGTGACTTCATCAATGTAGTTTTGTTGTGGTAATGCAGAAGTGGTTTGTTCTTAACCCTTTTTCTGAATTTTTACTGTAGCCTAAAGCTTTGATATCCTTTAGAAGTTTCCCATTCAAGTTCTAACCAATAACTCCAATTTACTTATCCAAGATCAACCAAGGTTGAATAGATTTGAACTATGGCAAATGAACAATTATTGGTTCAACTACATCTTGTTTAGAAACCACCCATCTCCATCACAGAGTGCACAAGGATTAGAAAGAGCATTATGAAACCACAACCATTTGACCACTTTGTATTAGTGTTAAGTTTGAAGGCCACTCTTGTGTTTTGTTTTGTTTTTTCTAATTCTTATTCCCAAATGGAGAACATTTGCTATATAAACCCTCCCTTTCCTCTCCCAGGGATTTCTCCTGAAATAACAAAATTTAATTAAATTATCATTCAGATTATAGTGACCCTGTTCCAAGAGCCCAGTAATATTCTGTTTGTAGTAAAATCTTGTAAAAAAAGTGCCACCTGCATGGATTTCAGATACCATCTTCAACTTCAGTTTTGCATCGTAAAGTATTCTAATTAAGTATTACACCAAGCTGTTCAAAGTGCTTTGCATTACCTCAGCAATCTCTATAGAAAAATGTATGATGATTAGATCAGAATTAATACCAGCATGTTTTAACAAGAGAAAGGAATGTATGATTGAGAGATACCAACTGGGTCTTCAGACATCATATTAATGGCATCTCCTCTCACTTTCTTTTCCTGACATTGCGCTTCTCTCCCTGTGTATTTAGCACACTATTACAGATGGTTCCTAGCAGGAGTCTTGCAGTGAGTTTCTGATATTCGGTCACTCTCTGCATAAAATGAGAGCAAACGCCATGGATCCCAAGGCTGAAGGTTGTCCTCTCCATTTTTTTTTCTAGTTAATATCCAGAAGCCTCTTTAGGAATAAATATTGGAAATTATTTTCCTTTATTATTCTACAGGGATTTGTCTTTAGACTTGAAGAAGAGGAGGGAGGAATAAAATGATTACACAGCCTAGAGAAAGCAAAATGCCTAGGAAGGAGATCCAGAACATTGAGGCTTTAAACCTGTTGTCCTCAAAAAGAGGGTAGTGAATGTTTTGGAAAGGACAGTGATGGCGAACTTTTTCGGCACTGAGTGCTGAAAATGGAGTGCGTGTGCACTATGCGCACTTGTCTGGGCCATGACCTGGAAGAGGAGCTGCCCATGGGGCATTCCCACACCGGAAAATTAACTTGCTAGACCAACTCTTCCAGTTTCCGGCACTACTGTACGGACAAAGACCAGCTGATCATCGCGCACGTATATGCACCAGAAACCCAGAAGCGGAACAGGCAATGCCACGTGTCCCAGGCAACATGGCTCCGTGTGCCACTTTGGGCATGCATGCCACAGGTTCGCCATCGTGGGTATAGGCTTTCAAGGTTCTGCAATTAGATTCTGCAAATAAGAGACTCAGTGGGTGGCTGTTTCTCAACATTTGCAAAGAGAATGAGATTTTGAGTTAAGTCTTGAGCCCTGGCAACTGAATGGACAAGCCATCCAATTTTCTTAGCAAGATTTCAGAAGAGGTTTTCAGAACAAGCCCAAGGTCATCCAGCTGGCTTTATGCCTAAAGTGGGACTAGAATTCAAGGTCTCCTGGTTTCTAACCACTACATCAATGACTGGCCTACCTCAAATATCTGAAGCCACCTCCTTTCTTTGATGTAAGATGCAAAACCCAACGCTTAGAATGGAGTAGAAGACATGCTTCCCCTCACTAAAAACTTCAACATATGGGAATATCTGAAATGTTAAGCTAACCTAAGCAACTTCAGTTAAAATGGTGGATTTAAGAATTACCGTAACTGGAGAATATGCACTTATAATTGTTATGGCTTCTCCCCACATTTTCCCTCCCATCAAGAATTTTATGGACATGAGTAAAATGAGAGATTTTGCAAATGTTCAGCAAAAGTTGGATTGTTGGGGTTTTGGGGGGGAGGGGTTGGATGGGGAAGGAGTATAGATGGTGTTATTTGAGCCCTATAATACTAGCTATAACCTTCAGAATACGCTTCCAAGAAATATTATGGAATAAGAACAGCAATAGATTTGAGGTGCCAAATAGATTTTGGAACAATTAAAATTCAGGAACATAAATTCAATGACAGATTTGTAGCTGTTCAGAGCACTATGGAATTAAATTCACTCTATTTCCCATCCAGGGAAAATGAAATGGGGAGAACCCCATTCCATCATCTGCAACCAGGTTACAATTAAGAACTTAATTGTACTTCCATAATTTAATTGCACCAGTCAGCGGTGATTTAACCATGACATTGTAACAGCTTTCTTAATGCTATTATGGCAGTAATCAAACTCTATATGCTGGCATCTGTTTACAGACCTGCTGTGGTAGAAACAACTAGTCATGCTAAGAGAAACTGGAAATAACAGAATCACAGGTCCTTTGAAGGGACTACATTATTTGAAGGACTGTCTTTTTCCAGCTACATCTACTTGACTACTAAGAGGGAAGGCAGGGTAGTCTTTCTCTTAAGGAGGTCCATCTATTTCGACCAAGAAGAAGTGTCTTCTCCATGGTGACTCCCTCTCTATGGAACATCATCCCCATGGAGATAAGAATGGCCCTCACCTTGGGACACTTTTGAAAGGCCCTGAAGACATTGTTTTGCTGGCAAACCTGGGGACCTCAGGATGATACAGGGTCCATCAACAGGATTGTTTGATTGTTACTGCCAGGGGGATGAGGGTTTATTGGATTTTGTACTTAGGGTTTTACTTCTGTAAGCAGTTCGGAATGACTGTGAGTTGGACGGCTATATAAATTATCTTAATAAATAGATCACGAAAGGGCCAAAGAGGGTTTCCTAACTGGCTAGGGTGCTAGATATCTCAAAAAGAAGAGAACCACTCACACAAACACACCAATCCTACAGTCTGTCTATGGAGATTTCCACTCATCCTGGTCATGATTGTCCCAAAGGTGCTTCCTCAAGAGCCAACTGAACTTGCTTTGTTTTTCCTTGAAGACGTTTCACTTCTCATCCAAACAATTTCTTCAGAACTGAAGAACTTCTTGAAAAAGTTCCTTTAAAAAGAAGACAATCCTACAATCCGCTGTTGCATGTTTTGCAAAGCCTGTTTGGGGAATTCTAGTTTGGCGGACTGCTGGGAAATTGCAAAACTACTTTCCAGAACCTGAAGTCCTTCAGATATTTGGGGACGGGAATCCCCAGAGTGGCCGTGCTAGCTGAGAATGTTATGCTGTTAGTCTCAACACATCACCCATTATTTTGGAAAGCCGTAAAACAGGTATGCAATAAAATGAAGTAAGTAGCACTAATAGGCAGAAGTATAGGGAATGACTATAATTAGCAGGAGGCGCAAATGTCACACAAGAAGAGGAATACTAGACACTTACTTATAATAACTGATATCGTAGCCCACCCGAATCCAGTGGGGTCTGCCCTGCAGAGCTTCCTTCACTGAATACATGACTGGTTGCATACCTACACAAAGAAAGGGGAAGGAGGAAAAATGTGATATGATTTCTGCTGCAGTGGAATAGAAATAGCTGTTTTACGTAGACATGTTTAGAGTAGAGAAGAATTGGAATTGGATTGGAAAGTTTATTTATAGGCCGCCCTTTTCCCTGGGGGGGACTCAGGGCGGCTTACAATTCATGGGGGGGGGGGGCATACAAACAGTGAGACATAAAACAATACATAATTAAAAATAGAACACAGCATTCATCATTCGG